TACAATGACTTAAAGATCAAACTGAAATTACAGCCAACCTACAAAATCAGTGACTACTAGCACTGTGTTAAGTATTGTTATATTGGTGGCAAGATAATGTAGACATTTAAAAAATATTTTTTTGTACCCAAACCGCTCATTTAATCAAAATTCTGTAAGAGATCCAAAAACTTCGAAATGGTATCACGCATCAAATAAAAAATAGTTGCCATTATTGCCCAAAATAGGAAACAGTTATGAACGGATATTATCACCATACATCAATTTTGTAGGAGTTGTGCGTTTTAAAAAACACTTTGTATAACATCAAAATTTGTAGATTGAAAGCAAAAGTCCACACCCCAAAAATAATCGAAATCGAATTCAAGATTCAGATTCAAAAAAAATTTTCCGAACTTCTAAGCCATCTAGCGGCCAAACGAAACGATTTCGGATACAGATGAATTAGCCTAAATCTGCCTATTTTGTGTCCACGCATCTGTGGTCTTCCGTTGTACACGTTATTCTGTGACACCCTGTATATAAAAGAGTGTTTGAGCAAAACATTTTTGCATTTTGCAGGTCTGCTCTCAACTTATTTTCATGTTTTCTATTATGTAAGCGATTAATAAAAAATTATGGTGCACTTCAATTTTATTTTTTACAATTTAGAAAATAAAGATGGAAAATAAGCGTCAGATTAATGCTCGTAGTATTCAAGGAATTTCTTCTTTTACATTCCTGGTTTCAAATATTTATTTAAAGAGGCCGTAAAAATCAACCGTAGACCTGCTAGTTATCAAAACCACTTCATAAAGATTGTCTCTAAATATAAGTGGAGCCCGCAGATAAAATTTATAAATAAACACATTTTCGAGCGGCCAATTCGAAATTACCTGCCATCCATCATCTGCTCCACGGTATATCTTGCGAGCATCACGGAAGGGAATTTTTGGAGAACAATGAGATAGTCCGACCCGCTAAATTGCTCGCTCGTGATCGAAATTTCTGCACGGCTCGCGAGCTAAAAGAAGCGAAAAGTCGCAGACATACCATATAAGATCAACCCAGCGCCACTGCCTTTCCGAGAACCGCGCTGCGACGGTCGACACAACTACAATCTGTATTTGGTATTATTTGATAGTTATCGTGTGGGAATCCTATCAATCCGGAGGCCTTCTCCATCCACCGATGTCCATAATCGTTGTCGGGTACTTGATAAACATGAAATCGAACTACGACTTCTGGCAATGGGGCTCGTTAGTAGCTAAGAACGGCAGAAAAGAAGGCGCGCAAGTGATCACGGCGATAGTAAATTATCCTATGTTTATATTAACACGTTCGTGGATTGTACGACTTTGTACACCCTTAAGAAACTTAATTTTAGTGTGTAACTACAAGGGGAAAAATTATATAAAAAATTTTCACAATTGTAAAACCATAATTTATATATGTAGAAAATACTACTATCTATAATTTGTGTCAAACATTACCAGCAAATTTAACTTTACTACATTTTTTTAAATATATTCTCTCTGTTTTGCATTACTGCTGTTTTAAAAAAAAAAATATGCGTTTATAAACATTCTAGAAAAAAATATATACCACAAATTATTACAGATATAGATTTTATTTAGACAATCATCATATTAATTAAAATTGCAAAAACAACAGGCACAAATATGTATAAGAAGAAAATAATAAAACCTATAAATAACACAAACAGTATTCAAGTTTAGTCAACAAACCAATTTGGAAAGCACTGTTAAAGATGAACTTATTACGTCTTTACCATATCACTATCATTTTATTGCCGATAAGTGCTAATTAATAAAAAAAATTAACACTGTATTATATATTCCATATTGAAGTAAGGATAGATACCAAGAGCAACATTTAACCCGTCTGCACCATGCCACAGAACTAAAACAAATAAATACCAGAAGAAAGTCACAAGTCTAACAAAAAACCCTTACTGCGCTTACCAAGGTCAAATCTATCTCAATAATATTTTTCAAATTTCTATGTTTAAATAAAAATATTGCAGTACTTAAAATATATTTTAGTAAATACATTCTTAATATTGCCTTATATTACAAACACAGGGGTAAATATAAATTGTACAATTTCTAAGAACAATATTAACATGTAAATACATTTTTCTGTGGAATTATACGAAAATATTTTTATGCATAGTTACATAGTCTTGCACAAAATGTAAGAGCGCAGTAATGTGGTAAGGCATTTTTTATCATGTAAAATGGTCTTTTGATATATTCTATACTTAGTTACAAAAAGCATAATAAAACGAATAAATATAATTACTGCATTACCAGAGCTGTTTTGTATACTGTAAAACAAATTAGTGAAATAAAATAAATAAATAGAATAAACATAACATGATATCTCTAGCTATGGAAACATACAAAAAAAAAACAAATTTAAAACGTCAAAACTGTTAAAACGAAAAGCCAAAAAAAGTTCAGAAAATGAAAACAGTGGATTTTAGAAACGCTAAAAGTGCGCGATATTAAGTGATGTGTTTTTATATTTTCTATGTCCACTTTTTTCAGTGTGATATTTTTTGGTTCGGTATAACTATTTTCATAAAAATAACCCTTGACTGTTACCTTTGGCACAAGGGTTTATTTAACTAATTTACTGAAATTTTTGCACAGGTAGCAAAATATCCAAAAAAATTAAGAAAACAACGAAAACTATGTCACAAATATATATCTTCAAACAATAAATTATTGAAAATTCACTCAACATGCACTCAATAGTGTATCAGTTTCTGTCCACACCTGATTGAGTGAAATTTTCACTCTACTAGTATGAGTACAACTGAAATTTTATGAATGAAACTATTTCTGCAGAAATGAATAATTTTACTCAAATATGAGTTTCTGTTAACTATCTAGTGAGTGACATTTTACTCTATTTTAGCATGTAAAAACAATCAAGAGTTTACTTTTTCTGTAATAGGTTTTACTCAGAGTACTTTATGCTTATTATCATGAAGTATCTCAAATTTAGAAAGAATCAAGATTGCGCAGATATTTGTCAAATATACAGGGTGTGCCGTTCATGTTTCAAAAAAAACTGGTGTACAAGTTCATGCATCATGGAAAAATAATAGGGGTAGTTTATGTAAAGTTTTTTTCTTAGACGCCCTGTTTTCGAGATACAGTGTGTTGAAGTTGTTACCTTCCAAAAGGTTTTCCTTAATTATCTTTAAATCGGCTGAAGATAAAAATGTCAAAATTTGTACATGAGTAAACATCAACTATGCGTTAAATGCTACCGAATTTCGACAAGTATTTTTTATTTTGTAGTATCCTTTAGAGTTTACAGAACCGTTTAGAAATGTAATAAATTTTGACTTCTAACATACTTTTTCGGCAACACTGCTTTTCAGAAAGAAACCGTTTGCACATTATTCTTAACGCACAATTAATTTATGTTTACTCGTGTACAAATTTTGACATTTTTATCTGGAAAGTAACAACTTCAACACCCTGTATTTCGAAAACAAGGCGTCTAAGAAAAAAAACTTTACATGAACTACCCCTATTATTTTTCCATGAGGAACTTGCACACAAGTTTTTTTGAAACATGAACGGGACACCCTGTATAAGCATAACTAACAGATGAATCCATTTATCGATCCTTTAGAATTTAAAATCAGTACCACTTGACTTATACGATTGCCCGATTTAGATTCATAAGTATAATCAACATAAAGAGCAAGTCGTAAAAAATGTTAACATTGGCCCTACGTTAGCCATAAATTTTAAATCACTGGCTTTATAAATACAGTTGCATGTGAAGTCTACATTATTTCTAGGTTTATATTTACCTCGCTTGTAGTACTGTCATATCACTAGCTAATGCCTCGAAAATTGCCTGCCTTTCCAATCGATCCTGAACGATTAAAAGCTAATGTGTACTATAATTTCGAATATTCAAAAAAGATTCGCAACGACGACGAAAAATGCTTCTCTACTACCATCAAAGACTTGTCTAGACTCACCGGTCATCAAATCTTCGCTATACTTTCGAATATTCCACTCAGGTCGCCCTAGCTGATCGGTAGAAGTTTCATGCCATCTGAGACAGAATCGAATTCAAATCCCACTAAGCGAATTTTGTAGTCTGCAAGGACTGCGTTCGAGCGTCGACCCAAAGGATGTGCTATTAATTATTCAGGATCTAGTTTTTGGTGAAACCGCGAAATTAGCTTCAGGCCTCCATAGCTCTTTTTACATACTCATACAGCCCGTCCTGTATTTATTAACAAAATTGATTTTAATCGAATTTTATTTTCTGTGCTAAGTTCCGGCTCTCTTTTAGTTTTTACTAGATAAAACTCCCAGTCATTATCAACCTGCGGTTTGTACATGATTGTGTATTCTCTGAATACAAAAGTCAGCAAAAGACATAAAACATTGTGAAATGAATAATACAGTAACTAATTGTCACTAAAAAAAACAATTCAAATGCAAGCTATCGTAAAGGAAGGACGACCATCGTGGGGTTTCCTACTCAAGTTCGGCGTTCCAGGAGGTTGGTCAAAGCCGTGGCCGAGTCTCTTTCGACGGCGGTTCATCATGAGGCGTGTGTACGTCAGTACCATTTTGCTCATTGCGTTGACAAATTGGCAGTGCCAACAGCGGCCAATTGTCATCGATAGTCGCTTGTACAATTTATTGTGTATTTGTATTTACAGCTGCTAGTAACTTTTTTTAATGCGTTGACTCATTCGAAATGAAAAATTTTGTACCTCTTTGCATAAAACGAAATACTTGTTAACTGGTTTAAACAAATGATTTGAATAACAAAAAAATGAGAAATAGCCCATTCTAAACAGTTGTTATTGTCATTTGGAAGCATTTGAACAGGATAATGCGGCTCTACGGCAATCTAGCCGTGCAATATTTATCCAATCGTTCCAATCGAATTACCCCCGCAACAGATAATCGGAAAACAAATATTTCACCACCGCTTCCTGTCAATTTCAGCACCCCGAGTGCGAGTGCGGCCACAACACGTGCGGCCCGAACTGCGAGAGGTGCTGTCCGATGTTCAATCAGCGCCAGTGGGGTTCGGGCACCTCCAGAGATGACCGCCAGTGCCTGCCCTGTAATTGTCACGGACACGCCACCAGCTGCCACTACGACGAGGACGTGGACAAGAACGGGCTCAGCATGGACGTGCACGGGAATTACCAAGGAGGAGGAGTCTGCGATAACTGTTCGGTAAGATAATTGTACAGAGTATCCAATGTTCACTTTACAGGATGTTTCATTTTGAGTGGAATCACAGAACATGTTGAACAACGACGAAAGCTTAGTTTCCTGGTACATTTGTGGGTTATAAAAAGGTTCAAGCCTAATTTGCATATGGTGTTTTAATTTTATTAATTTCGTACTTAAATTCCTTTACGCGTCTCCTTTTTTTTGTCCACCGCTAGGCATACGCACATCATGGGTATTTGATTGATTTTTGCAGCGAATTTTTCATATTTGAACGATTTCTATTGTCCTTTATATTTCTGTTGTTATAAGAGGTATAAAAAAGTGTTCATACGACCGGAATTTCCAAGGAGGAGAAATCTGCGATAATTGCTCCGTATAGTATTTCCGAAGTCAATTGAACATGTATAAAAACGCCTAGCAATAAAATTTAATGAGTTTCATAGGCCTCCCTAAAAAAGTTTTCTGCTAAATGTAAAAAATAATATTAATATGTATATAATGTGCAGAACATTTCTAACAACACATTTTAATCATTTATGACACATCAAATCAAAAAACATTTACACTTTCATTAAAATATATTACTGCTTGCCAAGAACCAACGGGAAAGTATGAACATATCCTTGTCAGGAAAAGATGAGGAAAGGTTGTTAGTTTAGGTTAGAAAAGTTATTAAATAAAAATCGACAATAAAATAATTCCGTATTCTTGCACTGCACTGCTAGGCAATTTGTCAGCAACTGAAATTTATGGCCCAGTCGCCCAGTGCAGCTGTGTTAGTGCGGCGTTTGCCCGCGCGTGCATTCTTCAACTGGTCGTATACATTTCTACCACCACCTGCACGTTTAGCTCGACCAGACCTGTATATGGGTATGGCTAAATAAATATGGGAACAAGTTTTTCAAATATTTCAATGCCGAATTGCTGTGTAGCGACTGAATCTGGTACATACTGCCTAGCTCTTTGGTCATCAGTTGAGATCGGAAAGACTATAACAATTATTGTGCAGGATATCCAAAAAAATCTTCTGTAAAGGATAGAACATTTTGGATAGGTTTGCAGAGAATAGGTTAGGCAATGATGGAAAGAAACTAATTTAAGCATCTCATACTCTTGTTCGAGCTTACTTTCGAGGTACAGCTGTAGACAATAAAAGGTTCCAAGCTAAACTGCAATTTTTTGAATTTGGACTATTCTGCTATCGCTTTTATCTTCGCCTTTGTAAGAGGTACCTACCAAAAATGTTTAAACGATTTGTTATATCATTTTGCTCACAGAACAGAGTGACGTATTCAGTTTTTACTTAGTTTTATATTTTTGGAGACATATCACTAAAGTCTATCCCTGCAATATATTGTTTTTTTTTCATTTTCATTTTTCAAGAGAATTTGTTATTAAAAATACATGCTGGAAACTCTCTGAATATCTAAATATTGTTTTAGTACTTATTTCATTGTTATTTTTAACGTGAGCAATATATTTTGCATAAGCAAAAATAAAATTATAGATGTGTAATATTTATTATTTTATTTAATGTTATGCATTAATATTAGACATCTTAAAGTAGTATCTATAGTACTGTTAAAAAACCTGCAATTTATAACCTCCATCGTTTCTTAGTAATATAGATAACGAGCTAAATATCAAAGTCAAGAAAGTGCGCCGCTAAATAATGCTGACATTAATGGGATTAGTGGAGCCATCGACATTTTAGGTACTCGGCAGAGGGTATATTTTATAGAGGATTGTAAAAATCGATGGTACAGTTTACAGAGAGAAAGTGTAAACCACAGAACGAAATTAAAGCACCGGCAATATGTTATTTTGCGGCTTAATCTGCCAGCAATTAATTTTCTCCTTTCTTCTGTACACTTCTGTATAAAAAATGTTGTACTTAATTATATGAAGTTGAATTCTTTCTATTAGGAGATTTACTTGGTAATTAGGGAAGGAAATATTACGAAAATTTGTCGGTGAATTATGACCACAGGATAAATGTTCTCCACCAGCAATTTAGAGAAATGCTAAATAAATTCGAACAAGCTCTTAGTGTAAGCTAGAACAAACAGCATTTTAATAATAAATGTCAATAATTCTATTACAAAACAAATCCCTTAAAAAGTTTTAACGAACTTACATGCTATCAAACTTATTTTAAATAATTATCTAGCTCGTTCAATATTTTATACACATTTAGGTTATTATGTAGATCAGCAGGACTTTTCCTAATGTACTTACCATAAAAATGCGTAATGGTTTATTACAAAAATTGGCAACCAATATTTTCCTTATTTTTATTAATTAGGACAGTAATGAAGAACGGTTGTCGAAAGATGCTGTCAAATCAAAACATGTTATTGCTTTTAATTAATTATTTTACATATTGGACAGCAACGAAGCTGTTTGAGAGAGAAAAATCATTGACTCATTGTATCTTCTATAATAATATGTAAATTACCCTATGTAAATTGTATTCTTTCAAAAGGCATTATAAGCTATTATACAGATTATATGATTGACATCAATTTTGACAGAGACAATTACAACAATTGCATTGAAGATTGTAGATGTACGAAGCAGATAAATCATTTGTTTCTACTTTCTACTGCAACCAACCACCTTATTCATCTTCCTTTAGCTTTCCAATTAGTTTTTGCAGTTTTGACAGCAGCACTTCTACATAGCCAACCACAGATCTGTTAGCCAACTTTACTAAGATGTTGTCTGAGTATACAATGTTTTGTTAGCAGTCCTGTTATCGTCTTTATCTGTATTGGTTCAGCAGGTCTGATGCATCTCCTTCGATGATTCTTCTTGTTTGACCTCTGTCTAGGAGTTTCCTACCATCATTTTTGGGTGTTATATTTTATACATTTCCGGATGAATCTCTTGATAACACAGCTAACAATGCCTCAGAGGAAGATAAAGCAACTAAACAGTTCCGTATCTGTTTGGATTTGATCCGTTGTGAGCTTCTGGTATGATTGTCTTTAGTGCTGCCTGACTGTTCAAGTAAATAACAATTCGTTGTTTTTTTTTACGTTAATCTCAATTAACTTCACTGCACAGTATTGAAAACTCCGTCTGAGAGACTGTGCGACATATTACTAACTAGGGAAACTTGATCCCTTCCCTTAGCCCCATATATTCCTGCTCCAACTCCTATTACTGATCGTATACTAACTTTTGGTATACTCCACCCTGAGTAATCTATAACATACAGATCAAGTTTCTCCTTGAATGAAGATATGATGGTAGGTTCAACAAAACCTCTAGAGTTGTAGGTATGATTTTCATAGTCCTGTAATACTCAGACAACCTAGCCTTTGAATACTACCCAAGAACCTTTCCACTTCGTCCACCATACTACCGCTCCATACGCTAAAATTGTGTGGACACGAGGACTGATGCCCAATTCCTCCGCGTAGTTTCCTGCATCTTTCCGGATTGAAACTGTGTCAATGTAATAATACCGTGTTTCTGGTAGAACCAGAAAGTACTTTGCGTCTTTAGTGTATAGAGTCTCCAGTCCACTAAACCGCAGCTTCACGAAACATTATACATTTTTATACTCATTAATTGGAATTATTAAAAATAATAATTACACTATTTAATCATATAAAATATTACAGACTACTATTTTTTTCATTCCAAGGATGCAGTTGAAAAGAGGGAAAATTCTTTTGTTTTTCATATATGAAAAACAGTAATTTATGTTAAAAAAATCCGGTTATCTTGAAATGTAGGCCCAAAAATGTAGTTTTTGTACATTTCAACTCTATAAAAATATCATCTTACAAGTGGTCGAAACGCTTTCTGTCTTGCGTGTTCCAGTCTCTGGATCGGTAATTTGGGCGCTGCTTAACTGACAACGTAGTTAAGAACCAAATAACTACTGCAGAATATTTCTTTGCAGAGGTCACCCTATACATGTTGGTTCATTTAAAACTATATTTTGGTACATTTGAATATAAGTAGAATTTTTTAAAAAGAATGATTTTTTTCAACTCTATCCACAGACAAAATGTACAACGTCATCTTAAAAAATTGGGTATTAAAAATAAACTTTTACAGGTCCCAGCGATTCTTAAAAATAAAAAATACCTAACTCTTCCCTTACTCTATCAAATATCACTTTACAGTTAGTTGTACCATCTAAAATTTGAAAAAAAATGAAACCTAAAAATGAAAATAAACCTGTGTGCATAGAAAGCGGCCCACTGCACTGCAAACTTTTGACTTTAATTGTATATACAGGGTGAGTCATTAATAATGGTACACAGCTTAATGGCAGATTGTTAACGTCAAAATATAGCGATTGAGCTAAACATGCCTTATTGCCTTAATCAATTGTTGCTCATTTTCGTTCTACAGGGTTGAAAAAAAAATTTCTGTTTTTTTGCTATATTTTACGTATGTATGGATCGATTGTTTTGAAAATTTGTAGTTTTACGTTTGTTGAGATGGCAAATGCGAATATGCAAACAGTGTTGGGGTCACCTCGAGGGGGCGCTAGTTATACTGTTATTAATGTTAAAATATGTCAATGCATCAATGCATGAGACAAATTGACTTTTTTATTATTAAAGGAAATATGGTTATTGACAATTATCTAAATTTACACTTAATTTTTAATAATGGGTATGACTCGCTCTTGCCCTAATAACATCCCTCATACGATTAGGCATAAATCTTTTCAAGTTCGCTATTGTTTCATTCCATAAATGTTCAATTGGATTTAGGTCGGGAATGCATGCTGGCCACTCCATAACCCGAAAACCTACTTCTGATATGTAATCCCGCACGATTCTTGCGGTGTGCGGCCTCGCAATGTCATGCATAAAAATAAACTCGTCTCCAATGTAGTCGATGTACGGTGCAACATGAACTGCTAAAATTTCCGCGAGGTACCAGCACCCGTTAAACCTCCTCTCCCGTGACCACGATCGCCCCTAGTGATGAAACCTTAGTGATGAAAGCAGGGTTGGTTCGTACTTCCATAGAAATCGCGCCCCAAATCATGCAAAAACCGTCTCCATAAGCAATTCGCTCTTGAATGCAGCATTCTGCAAATCGTTCTCTTACCCTCCGGTACACTTTTAGTCTTCGGTCGCTACCATAGAGTTCTAGTTTCATCTGAGAACGGAACAGAGCCCCATTGTTCCAATGTCTAATTCAGACGATCCCGTACAAAACGCAGACGTGCTTGACTAATAGCCACTCTTCGCACTTCACGGAAGCAGCGGAAGGTTGCACTTGAACCGCATTAAGATGACAATTTCTTAATGTTATTGACACAATAAAGCGGTCATCACAAGCTGTTGTACATCGTTTTCTGCCGGTTCCAAATCGTCTATGGAAGGATCCAGTCTCCTCAAAACGTTGGCACACTCTTCGAACCGCTGTAAGTGTCATGTCCAATTGTAGAGCAACAACTCGTCCATTTTCGATTAAAGCAATAACTTGGGCGGGTTTTTGTGGTGTAGTATGCATTAATAGTATATTATTCAACGAGCGTATAATGATGGGTATTATTCATGAGGTGAAGTTTACGGCCACGAGCCGCAGGCGAGTGGCCTAAATCACCGAGTGTATAATAACCATTATACGGGAGTAGAATACTATACTTTATCCACGACTACTAAATATTTTTGTTGATTTTTTTTTGAAATGTTTCGAAAAACATGGTATGTTAAGAAACATATATACGACTCGCACGAATGAAGTCGCTGATGGCTCAGTGTAGATGCTCTTTACCTTCCAACCGCGGGTCCCGGGTTCGAATCCGGTCTAGGAAAATTCACTTTTTTAATTTTTTTTTTATATGTACAGCACTGAATTGAAAATATTTAGTGGTTTACACGATAAAATTTTAAAAACGGATTGTTTGTAGCAGAACAATATAATATTATAGCTAAATTAAGGAAGCATCTGACAGTAGTGATTAATGACTCATTAATCACTGCCGTGATTAATGGGTATTATTAAGGTCGAGCAAACAGACGTATAATGGGTACATTATACAATAGTCGTGGATAAACACTTTAAAACTATTGAAATTATGAAAAATGAATAATGTACAAGTTCCAATTGGAAAGGCAATAATATCGATTTGTCCTGAGTTTGTTATTCTTGTTATAACCACCAGTACCACCACATAAATACAATTCATTTGTTTATCGGTTGCTACGCATATAAACGGCAAGCACCCTTGATAAATTTAAGCTCGTATTAAAGCATATTAAATTATCTTTCAAACACCATATTTCCTTTTTAATCTGATAAATAGTTTAAACAATATATACAGGATGTTCCACCTAAGAAGGATCATTCTGTAACTCTGTAACTGTCAAATTTATAAAAAATAGACTTAATAGAAGCTGTCTCGATTCATATGGGTCATGTAAATAAAATATTTTTAGCTTTACAGGGTGTTCCATTTCGCGTGGGCTGTACATAACTTTGTTATTTAAAATGGAACACCCTGTATATTGCGGTTTTTAATTGCTTGGTTAATATTAGGTAGAGTTTATTAAATGTACATGGTGTTTAAAACTTACCGTTTTTTTAATAAAATCACGATATCAGCTCTCTAAATGAGGCTAGATAGCGTCTAAACCTACCATTTAAATTGGTAAAACTTTTTTTTCAAATGGAATGATGGGTCATCAATTGTCATGGGTGAATGCCCTTTCGACTGATACAAGATTGTCCATACTTATCTCTAACAGTTTTCCAGAAAAATCAAGTTCATTTCTAAAGTTCGAAAAAGTAGCGCTATATAGAGCTTACCAAAATGAATATCGGGGTTTTAAAGCTTTGTAGAAGTTATTACGGTTAACTTACAATTACAAAGTATACCTACATCAAATAAACGAGCAACTCAGTTTGTCCTACAAGTATTCGTGCGCGTGCGCATGCTCTGGTCTGGGGGTCAGCAAATCCTCACGAGATGGTACAGTTGCAACGAGACTCCCCTAAGTTAAATTATTTTTATGCCATATCCCGGCGGAAAGTGTATGGGTCTTTCTTTTACGCTGAAGCAACTGTAACTGGTGTTTCTTATCTTGATGTGCTACAAACAACAATGGCTATTGCCTCAATTATACGAAGCTGAACCAAAGAACTTTATTTGGCAGCCTCATTGGCATGCCTTGTTGTTCCCGACAGGTGGATTGGCCGCAAGGGGCCGGATGACAGAGTTTGTTTCGCATGTGCATTGTGTGTATGTGCCTCCGCTACCAGCTGACGTAAACGACCTACGACATAGGATTGAAGCTGCAGTTGCATCAATTACTCCAGACACACTGAGCAAGGTTTGGGACGAATTCGGCTATCGACTCGATGTGTGCCGTGTGACGGAGGGTGCTCACATTGCACACTTGTAGGACAAACTGTTTGAGTTGCTCGTTCATTTGATGTATAATTTGTAATGGTAAGGTCACTGTAATAAATTCTACAAAGCTTTAAAACCCCGATATTCATTTTGGTACACCCTGTATAACAGCGTCAAGAACGCCTTGCAATTATTGTATTAGTACAACGTCGATACATAGGATTTTACAAAAGCACAGCACAGCACATCCTTATCGCACCAAGAGTAACTAAAAGTAGACTTTCAGCGGAGACTATCAGTAGGCACTTGTGATGTTAAATCAAGATGATGATTTTTTAAACGGGTCATGTTCTCCGATGAGGCTACTTTTCATAAAAATGGTTTCGTTAATAGTCATAATTGCTATTATTATGACAGTAAATCCTCACCAATTCATTCATTTCAAGAAATTACGCCAGACGTGACCAATGCTGAACAGTCTTTTAAAAACCGAATTCGTGTGTGAATTAATCAAAATGGAGGACACTTCGAGCAATTGATGTAAATCAGCGGTCTAAGTATTCTTCTCCTTGTTGTATTCCTAGTGTGGGTACACATGTTTGCAAGTGACCCATATTTGAAAGCACAACGTCAAAAGCGCCGCAGGACGCCGCCGGACGAACCAGCGTTCCAAGAAAGACTGCTGGCGCCGGTCACCAGACGCGTACCCATGAACGACCGACTTCAAACACAAGGCACTCTCCAAGGACTCTCCAGCTAACCCTCAAACCGTCAACACGTCTTTTTTTCCACAATATAGTTTTCAATAAAACGGTTTATTATTACCGTTGAGAAAGCGTTTTATTTCTTGCTGTACAGCGAAAGCAACCCTCACTAGTTCCAATTTGTTTCGTTTTGCGTTTTGTTTTAATTGTTGTTAGTGGTTTACTTTTGTTTGTCAAATCACTTTTTAAGATGTGTGAAAAGTGGTTTTGCAAGGTCTTGTTGATACTGTTAGGTACTACTTTTTCAGACTTTAGAAAAGGATCTGATTTTTCTGGAAAACTGTTAAAGATAAGTATGGACAACCTTATACCAGTCGAAAGGGCATTCAATTTTGCATTTACCCATAACAATTAATATGGGTCATACCACTTGAAAAAAAAAGTTTCTCAACTCGTAAGATAATTAAATGAATAAGGTACACGTTTTGCTCACAGATGACAAGACAGAGTAATTTATGCCAAAACGAGCTGTGAAAAGTGCAGGTTTCTAACTCTTACGGTTTATATGCTATGTAGCCTCATTTAGAGAGCTGAAATCGTGATTTTTTTCAAAAACTGCTGAATATCTCGAAACCGGTAAGTTTTAAACATCATGTACATTTAATAAACTCTACCTAATATTAACCAAGGAATTCAAAAACGCAAAATGTGTTCCATTTAAAATAACAAGGTTATGTAGCGCCCACGCGAAATGGAGCACTCTGTAAAGCTAAAAATATTTTCTTTACATGACCCACATGATTCCAGGCAACTTTTATTAACTCCATCTTTTAAAATTGACAGTTGTAGAGTTACAAAAGAATCCCTCTTAGGTGGAACACCCTGTATAATTAAAGTTTGCACTGGGCCGATTTCTATCCACGCAAGTTTATTTTATTAAAAAATTTAGTAGATATTAAACTCTCTCCCGGTTTTCCTTTTTAATAACAACTAAACGACTAATACAGGCAGTCAATTTCGCCGGTACGTAATCAAATAAAACTGTTCGCTATTTCCGGGATTAAATTTGACACACCTCGTACATACACGAATTATGGGCCGAACAATGTCGGCACCGCTAATGAATTATATTTAATTAAACGCAGGCCGTAGCGGTTCCCAAAAACGCCGTCGTGTCGACGGCATTATTTGCTTACCTATTCCTGGCGTATAATTCATCCCCTATTTAATATTCAAGGATTATACCGCCGGTATAAACTGCGAGCACTGCATGCCAGGGTATTTCCGGCCGGAGGGGGTGCCCCCCGAAGCCAAGCAGCCCTGTTCGAGGTGCGAGTGCGACCCCACGGGGTCCGCGGGCACGTGTGTGCAGTATGGGGCCGAGGCCGGGCGCTGCGACTGCCTACCTGGTTACAGTAGCGAAAGATGCGATGCTTGCGCCCCCGACTATAGGGGATTCCCCAACTGTGAGCCCTGTCCGTGTGACCCGAAGGGAGTGCGCGGGATGGGCGACTGCGAGGGAGACTGCGTGTGTAAGGTGAGTTGACTTTAGAAGTAGGATTTTCCTGTTTGTATTTGTTCTGCTTATATCGTAAATACCTCAATGTAATAGATCAAAAATCGTTACCACCAAATTCCAGGACTCTAGTAATTGATAAAAAACTAGGAACGCTTCTACAAACGTTATACATTGTAGAATATTATGTAGATAAATATTGCTTTCTATCAATAGAATCGAATGTGTTTAAAACAGGGGTAAAAAAACAGTAGAAAAAACAGTAAATTCGACTTTTTGGTACAATAAAGTTGATATGTTTTTATGATAAATCAAATTATTGTCAGAGGCGTCGGCCGGTTATAGAGGTCTACCAATTACTCTCCAATAATCACTCTGTAGCGTTTGAAATGTGTGTATACACAAAATCTTTCATGTAACCCCTGAAATAAAAATCTAGTTATGCTATTCTGCTATTCTCAAATTTTTGTCTAAGAAGTTTTTATTTAGTTTACAAATTCTAATAATTATTATTAATATTTATTCTTCATAACTTTGTAGGCTTGTTTCTGAACAAATAAAAATCGACCTAACTGATACCATATACAGGGTGTTTCTGAAATAAATGGGTTCCTTGAAAAGGGTGATATAGGGCACGATTAAGAACAATTTTTATTAAGCAACTGATGGTCTAAAACACTACGTTTTAAATTTAAAAAAAATTTTCACATGAAGGTTTAAACAAATTTAAAGCCGTCCCTGGTGCAGCAGCCAGCTGTACCTTTGATATCGAAGTTGCCGCGCGCCCCAGTACGAAAACGCTGACGGCGGTTTTGACGGTTTAAATTTTGTGTTCGAAAATGCTGAAATTTATTCAAAACTCGTTTAAAAGTAACACAAAAATGAAACTCACAAACGAATTACTTACCAATAGACGATATGCTCTACAAATATTTTTCAAAGTTGTTTCCATTTGCTAATCAACATGTGACGGTCAAAATTAGTCCGCACACGTGCAAATACTCCCAGAATTTGTCGAATTTCATTAGCTGCAGGAAAAATACGCTGTTGAAGATCTGCGTTCGGTACAAATTTTGTTACATACACCTCCAAACAAAAAAATCCAGATGATTCATATCTGGATTTTCGTGCTGGCCAACGTACAGAGACATTTCGTCCCATCCACCTTTTCGGAAAGTTGGTATGAAAAAATTTACAAACTGCACGAGAAACTTGGGCGCGGATTTCTAAAGGGACGTTTGGAGTCTTCGTGTGTGATTAATTAATTACAAACATCATTTGGAGAACATATTTTATTTCCGTTTATTTAAATAAATGCCTGCTCCTGTATCTATTAAGAAGTTTAATCTGTTAGTTTTATCATAAATAAACATTCGACGACTTTGAAAATGTGTTCCGTGATTTGCCGCCTCAATTACGGAACGATTCAGTTTAACTGTTTCAAATTTAAAAATTATCACCACGGTCATTCACATTTAGTTGCTGTATCTTTGAATTTTTGATGATAATAACACTTTTTTTTTTTTTGTTTTTATTATAACCTCTATCTCTACTGTACTTCTGTATCTAAAATTTTGTCTATAGCCACTATAACTGGGACTAAAATTTCTGTTATTACTCATATTGTTCATTATTTGTGTTTGTAATACATTAATCTTAGATTCCAATTCTAGATTTTTATTTGTAAATGAGTCAAATAACTCTTTAAATTTACTTGTGAGCTTGTTTATACTCTTTAAAACTTGTAAAGTTAATGTATTGTCTGCCCTTGAATTATTATCAATATTATTTTCTTGTTTACTATTTATAATGTTTGAATTAATAACTGATATGTTAGTATATCTTTGTATGTTTCCCAATTTTTAACTGCTATATCTAAATTCTCATTTACTTTAACTTTTCCTGATACTGTTATAGCTACTGAAATAGTTTTTGGTACTCGTCTTTTCCACAATTTTAATAGTAATTCTTGACTAACTACTGCTGATCCCCCTACTGTCGTTGACATATCTCTGAAAAAAATCAGAGGATTTTCTATCTCCTATATCTGAACATGATAATAGCACATCTAAACGCTGCTCCTCACTAACAGTTTGCCTATTAATGATTTTCTCCTTTTTTGCATATAAATTATTATTTGGAGGGTTTTCAATAATATCAATGATATTTAACACAACTTCTAAAGGTAATGTAACAATGATGTTATCATATTTAACCCTATCTGATTTAATCTTGTTTAAAGCAAATTGGGCTTCTACTTGATAAAACCAAATTTCTGGGTTACTAATCCAAAATTTAGGTAATTTTAATGATGATGAAGCTATGTGATTTGTTTCATCGGACATTTCATTGACAGCACTATCATTATTATCAGAATCTGTCATGTTATTAATAATTAGTTGTATCTACTACAGTTACCAATGTATATATAAGTTACTTTTAGTTAAATTTCAAAAACCGAAGTATGGGAATATTATTTTTAAATTGCCAGTGTTGCGAGAAACAACTACTCCGCGGGCTATCTGCCCCGACCGGCATTGAATTATACTCGCAACACCTAGTGCAACAGTTAGGATCGCTCGTAAGTCTAACCCACCAGGCACAGACCGGTTTCGGACTTATTAGTCCTCATCAGTGTGTCATAGGTGAGACAACCGACGAACAATCCAGCTGTTATAGTGTCGCATACTCACGACAAAGAGGTACATAGTACGGGAATATTATTGTTTGCAACTTACATCCACTCCCATAGTTCACCTACAATTATTGCTTGCTGAGATCCGATATGATCTTCTTCACGACCACGAATAGCCCGGTTCCTTTTCTTGACTTTTGTTTCTCTTTTAGAGTTCCTTGCTCCTCGCTCGCCTTGATTTACGGATGATGACTGGAAGCTGACTGCTACTCCTCTACCGTTCTTCTAGTTTTCGTCCGAATTCTTCAAGCTGAAGATGGTTGCTGCCATTGCAGCTCCTTATTGCGGCCGTCTGTCTCTCGTTCAAAATTTCGTTAGTCACCAATTTTGCAGCCTTCGTATGTGATACGTTTCCAAGACTTCTAAAATTTGGTTTCTAGATAATATATCAAAAACACAATCTGAATGTGGTTTTTAATTATCACATTTTCATGTACCTATCCATGTCCATATTCTCGTGTGCTTGCTTTATGTTGTTATTTTTTTTTAAGGGAAGTCAAATCTAGTTTTAAGGCATTTGTTAAAAACTCCAGCTCCATTTAAACGTGCAGATAACACTATCGAACCGAGTAATCTGTCACCAAAAACACCGCACCACACATTCACTGAAAATCGTTGCTTGAACCGAGATCTCTGTGCAACGTGAGGATTTGCATCACACCAATAGTGAATATTGTGAACATTTAGGATGCCGTCTCTAGTAAAACAACATTCATCCGTAAAATCACCTTGCTTGTAAAATTCGAATCTTGTATTATTTTATTACCACTGACAAAATTCCACACGGGACTGAAAATCATTGTTATTTAATGCCTAAATTCTTTGTACATGATAGAGGTGTAACAATTGTTCCCGTAATACACGCTACACACTACTGTTAGATACACCCACTTCTCGGCTAATATCGCGAGTACTGCGCCTCGGATTTTCTCCAACGAAGTTTATGATGTTATCTTCGTTGTCGAAAAATATGTTGCGGCTTTTTCCATCCACGACCTTCATATGTCAGGTGCAATTTGTACTGTTCTACTGTTATGTTGTCGTCTGTTACGGTAATGGAGCGCATGCAAACGACAAGTCTCATTTAAACTGTACTGACATTCTCCATACATTAACACCATAGCTGCTAGTTCTTAATCAGAAAATATTTCATACGCCGGCTAAGTAATACTGCAACGAACAACTAAAGAACGCAAGACTTACTGAATACTGATCTACCATCAGATTTGCTTGATTGTGGAAGTCACGTGGAGCGTCAGCCAATTAGAGAAGCGCTTCACACATGTAGCGAGTTCAAAGTATTCTGGCCGTGCAAGTGCACAAGATGCACAGGATCGGCTTACATTTATGGTTAATTTTCTTCCTTAATTTTTTCGAAAACAGAAGCATTTAGATTTAGATCAACAGTTGTTTAATAAAAGTTGCTCATTTTCATCCCACCCTTTTCAAGGAATGTACTTATTTTAGAAACACTCTGTATATTAGAAATCCATATGAATATATAAAAAACTATTTTTTTAATACCAAGAGAAAATCCAAACTCAAACCAAAAATTAAAAACAGGAATTTAACGATATTTATCTCACTTATCTATTCCCTGTTTTTCTAGCCACAAATAACAAAACACTAGCTTAAAAAACCACCCCTTATCTTACTTTGCGTGCATTCTTACAAAATTTTATAACTCACCCCGAAAATTTCTATTTGCCGCAGGTAATTACTCCTTTGCAATTAAAGTTGGCCTCGGGGGTATACCGATTTCAAGATTTACCTCTTTCTAGTTTAGAGGTATCAATCAATGCCGAAAGTTGTCAAAACCGTAACGCAACAAATTATAAAGCCTTCGCAAAATTGCTATTTAGTTTGAAACCAGTTATTAAAATAGGTGAAATAAACAATGCCTTCTGAATGAATCAGCTTTAAGAATTTTAGAATGGGGGAGAGAGAATAGATATTACGTAACTTCACTTTATTTACAATACGACTTATTTGAAGAAAGTGTATAAAATATTCAAAATACTGAAGATGTCACAACGTATAACAATTTGAATTTTTTTTTTCAAATACATTTCAGATAAGATAAACAAATACAAACTAGTTACTATAGGTTCGAAGAGCTTACTGCTGTTTTCAATCTGAAGTGACACTCTTAAATGTATGATTGAAGAAAACCAAACCTAGAAAACGTCAGATCATTAGTTAGGAGGCAGTCAACTGTCACTTGATGTCAATCTCTTCCAATAAACTAGCAGATGCCTTTTCATCCTGTGACATACCATCACAATTTAAAGAAATACTGCAGTTGACCGTCGACCTTCCTAATTAG